TAATCACACAATGGAATACTACGCTGCATTGAAGAACAAGGAACTCATGAAATATTATACAAAATGGGTGACCCTGGAGGACATTATACTGAGTAAAATATCTCAGTCACAAAGGGACAAATACTGCATAATGCCACGGTTTTAAAACAAGACTGACATTGGGTTTGGGGGAATCTGAGAAGAGAGGGGATAAATAATGTATACTGCATGAGGGAAAGAACTGTTTAAAGGGAATATATGATCAGGTATTATTTTCATGGCAAGAGTTCAGAATAAGAGCTTCATGGGAAAGTGGACTAGGGAGGGATTATATAATAATGAAAGGGGTTTTGTTGTTATTATTGTTGTTTTAATTTTCAAACGAAAACCAACTGGGGCAAGGAGTGGGCAGGGAGGAAAATGTGCAACAATAAATGAATGGAAATCCCAAGTCTAGAAATTTTCATTAAAATTTCAATAAAAAAAGAAAAAAAATAGTATTTTAAAAAACTGTACAAAGAATACAAACAGTGATTTGTTTCTGATAAAATTATTCTTAGTTAGATTGTCTCTACCACTAGAATGGAGTCAAATAAATGTACTACAAAGGCACTGTGGTTTTTACAAACTACTTTTAAACTTCTTATAGTTTTACAGGTAGAATACTGAAAAGATGAATTATAAGCTCATGGAATATCTTCTTGAAATGAAACTGCAGTATAGTCACAGGAAAAATAATATGAGAACCCATAACTCTCAAAAGTCATTTACTACCACGTTACTGTGTGAACCCTGGTATACTAAATGAGGACAACAAATTCTGCAAGTCATTAAAATAACAATATACAGGCTGTTTGTTGGCAACAACAAAAGAGAAAGTCAGAAATTGAAAAAGGACTTGAAATACCCTTCTACTCCCCTCCAAGAACTACTCCATCCTCAGCCATGAGACTAGGAAAACTGGCTGGTGCCTAGCTACCATTACCGTACATTGTATTCAAAGGTTCTACAGAGGAATCTTTATCAAAACAGTAGAAAATATAAAACAAAAGTTGAATTCTAATGGAATCCAACTTTCTGGGGCCACTGAGATGGATGAAGAAATCAAATTACCTGCAACTATTAGCCTGAGGTAGTATTTTCATCTTAAGTAATTTTTAACCAAATCTCTCTCTCTTACAGATTCACACCTACCCATAACTGATCTCCACTGGGTTTCCCAGGCATGAGAGAAGCAGGACAACTGACCAGCTAAGGTTATGTGCACAATGCCCTAGAGACTAGGCCATAAGAAATGCTTAGCCTAATAAATAAGGAATGTCTGCCTTAAAAAGGAGTTTATGCTAATTCAAAGGCGGCACCCTGCTAGCAGTTCGAACCCACAAGTGCCTCTGTAGGAGAAAGATGGGCAATCTCCCATGTTAGTCTTAGAAACCCAATGGTCTCTCAACAGGAATGCATTTTAAGCATTTGTCTTAAGAATGCTACTCTTAAGCATTTTCTCTAGATAATCATAATTGAGAAGCTATCTCAAGTATAGGTGAAATGTTTAGGACACAATGTGTTTATAATAATGGTGATGGGATAATCTGGAAAAGTACAGAAAGGATGCTTTCAAACTTTAAAGAATTGAACCAGTATCACTAAATTATACATGAAGTGTTGTTTCACTTGTGTATTTGCCCTCCAAAATAAATAAATAACAAAGCTGTACATTCTAATGGAAATTATATTCTTGTATGAGAATAAAAAAATCAGAGATCCTTGGATTAACCTCTATTTTAAAGGCTTGTCCTGAGATTAGATTCCACAGTGAATTTTTAAAAGCTCTCCTCCTCCTTTCATGCTGGTGTGTACCCCAAGGTCAACAAACTAAATATTAAATCATGAGTAATTTTAGTGTTAAGAAACAGCCCTGTAATCCCACAGGTG